CAGGCTTTCTGAACAGGAGGAGCATCGAACATGGTGGATTTGAGAATGAAATGGTCTGAAGCATTCTCCAAAAACGACCCGACGGCGGTGTACAACTGGACGTCGTCCAAAAGGTCCTGAGCACCGCCACTGATGGTCAGCCACTCCTTGATCGTGATGAGGACTTCGGTGCGTTTGCTGAACACCTGCATATAATCGGAAAGTGTTGGTGAGGAGCCAGAGGGTTGGGAGGTTGTCAATGAAAGGGAGAAAATTCGCACCCTCGAATTCTTCCGGGTCTGTGGGTGGGGGGATGGGACTACGCTCGAGCAGCTGTTGACATCTTTTGAGAAGGCGAACCTTTTGTAATTTTTTGATCACCTCAGCAGTAAGACCTGTCTGGTCTATAGGACGTATTGTGATTCCAGTGTCCTAGACCACCATCAGCCTATGCGGTAATGAATGGGTACACACGTACTGAGACTTGACTTTGAGCAACTTGCTTTCACCCTCGACGTCCCGCAGTTTGGCCTGGAGTAGTTCCATCTCTTTCTTCTCGACATGTAGCTGGGCTTCAGCGGTCTGAACCCGCTCCATGCAATCCCGGAACGATATTGGGTAATCAGTGGACTCGATGGCAATCTGGGCTTCATATACAGACTCAAACCCTAGAGCCTCTACCAGCCGCCGCTCGCGATTCGCCACAGTGAAAAGTTCGTTTGAAGCAGAGTCATAATTCTGCCTGAGCTTCTGATTCTTCACATTAAGAGAATCAATCTCTTGCTGGCGCGTTTGGTTTACTCGTTGGTCCCTACCATCCACGGGGGAGGAAATATCGGTGGTCAGCAAGGCAACACCAAATGAATGAGCTCATACGTACCATCAGATATCACTTCCCACCATCGGAACTTGATAGATTGACGAAAATACAAGCATGCCAGCAATTGAGAACCGATAATGGTCTCAAAGACCCAAATTGTCTCCCAACCACTTCCCAGCATGAGCCCCAGTACTGACAAAGGTGCAGCGAGTGATGACGAAGGGATGTTTACCAGGACGACGAGCCAGCAAGGCTTCACACGTCGCAACGAACATCATCGTTTCGTAGATATTGTGTTGTACTCCAATAACCCATTGGCGAGATTGATGTTCGTCTGGTGAATAATTAGTTGGAACATTACATAGGATGATGTTTGTACGTACGAAAGCAGTCTTGCTCGACAAAGCCCCCACAGCGCTATTGATGGCATACAGTGGAAAGTTCAAATAGTACTCCTGTTTGGTCAGCTCCGATGTAGAGTTGCCAAAAATCGGGGTGTTAGGGTCTGGAGGAGGGTTCGAGCGAGGAGGAGGCATATACTAATCGATAGCTTGTTGGAAAGGGTCGTCCCATGGGAGATTGCAAAACTGGGAATCATGGATCAGCAGATAAAAAAAACATTCACTCGCACTCTCATTTCCTCCAGATCTTTCCCCGCCCACAAAAATTGTATTATCTATCGAGCGTGAATAACGACATGACAATGTAAAAACGCGACTAAGTTAAGACTGCACGAGGCATGCACCAATCACCCCCTCCTTTTACGCTTTTTCAACGTGGAAAGTGCTCTCCTCTGCATCTGGAGAGATAAAATTAGCCAGACATTTTCAAGAGGTCATCATTTCCTTACTGAAATCTGAAACCCTTGGCAGCTGGAAGTTGCACTCGACGCCCCTTTGATAGTCTTCATCTGCCTTGCATTTCCCCACCGCAATGAGTTGCTTAGATGTCAATGGGTTTGCAGGCTTTGTAGGCTTAGTGACTTGTGTCACAATCATTGGGGGGTAGGTGCGTGCCATCGATTCGATGTCGGTTTCACTCTCCAGGAGAAAGTAGGTGCGACGGCCCAGAGTGGAATCAGGCTCTATGGTCTTGTCGATTTGAGACGCGAGGCGTTCCAATGTACATCCAGGGGCGCCCACAACGTCCAGAGTATTTGCTTTCTGCTTGTAGCGCACCATCGAAGCTGCCAGATGTGCATGGTGCTCTGTCACCCAGTTCTCGATGTTCAGTGGCATATCGGCTCCCGCCAACTGTATGCTGTAGTGTTCAAAGATCCATTCATTGATCTTTCGCGCCATTCCCCGGACATATGTGCACATCGTCCTCTCAGCTTGATTCATCGCATTGACATTGTATGTCTCCACTAAAGACTCCTCATCACTAGTCAGAGGCTCGTGTCCCGTAGTGTTGGGTAACCGGTAAGTCCTGAAGTCGAGGACATTGGACATGAGCCTGAAAAATGTCAGGGCCAAAAGATCTGTAAGAGACTCCAGGGTTTGGAGGTCTGGGACGTGGTCTTTATCTGGATCTATAGTGCGCTCGTCTCATTTGGTTCAGCACCCCACATATTGCAAAGAAACGTACCATCCACATCCATGTCTTGATCCACGAGCGCCTGGTAAACGAACATCACCATTCGCCACAACAAGCTTCTCATCTTTTCGTTCGAGCTATTTGTGATGACGCTATCGCCAATCAGGATGTGTATTAAGCCGTACAGGGTGTCCTTCATCTTCGACATGGCAAAAAAAAAATCCCCCATGGAACACAGCAGATGAGACCATATAAACTGAATGTGGTGTATCTGGACCCATTATTCTGAACACAGGGGTAAGCCCCCTAGTCACCTTTAAATGGAAAACAGCTCACAGTTTAGTACCAGGTCCAAGCATGACAGCTTCCAGAGTCCATGACGATGATCCTAGATCCACGCTAAAGTCCTCGTGCAAAAACGCGTCCAGGCGACCGAAATCAATCTTATCACCTGAATGGTGCCTTGAAGGCAGTATCCACCATTTCCGACCTACCAGCGCCTCTGCATATGCCCCAGCGCCTTCGCTATCAATGTGAAAGGTGTGGAAAGCCCCTGAGGTGGCAGCCAATCCCCAGCGCATGTCCCCCACCGGCATCATTGTTTCGAGCATGCACATGGGCTCGCCGTCAGTGTAGATCCATGAGGCCACATCTGAACAGAAGGCTTCGTTGTGGATACCAGCATTCTTCATCGGAAATGACAATGCGTTCAGGATCTTTCCATCCTTCATTTTCGAACAAGCCAATAGTTGACGCAGGTTTCCCTGCCGGCATATATCATTGGCATTTCCCTCATCGTCGACGAGTATCAATTGATCTGAAAGAAAAATGGTATGGTGAACAGGCCTGAAATTGCGTTAACGATGGACCTTGTACGGTGAATACATCATTCATGTTCCTGCGCAATGTTCTCAAGGCTTTCTCATCGAAATCATAATTCGATTTTTCCCTATGGGTGACAAGGATGTGTTTTGCGCTGAGTATGGTCTGGATGTCCTTGATGGACGATGCTTGATACTCCGTTTCGGTCATGATTTTGAAAATCGATCGTTCAGGGTCAGCGATATGCAACGGCTGGTCGTTGACATAACCTCTTTGTACCCTCTTGCCGATGCTCATGAACTCTTTGAGTTTTTGTCCATGCTACAGGATCTAAATGTCAGCTCTGTTTATGGAATCTCACGAGGACATTGCTCACATGCATAAATGGCTTGAATTCATGTTTCTGTCCCAACGCATTGAAACCGACCAATGTCCGTCCTGCCCAAAATCTCAGAGGATGGGTGTCGATATCCAAATTCACAGAAGGTTTTTGGTCCTAGATTAACATATGATGCCTGACAAGGCCATGAGTTGAATGTTGTACATACCAGCATGTTTTCATCGAGAGTGGTCATGACCATGGACGCCGACAATTCGACCGTGCTTTGACGAGGCGTGGCGTATGTTGTTTCTTCCCTTTTATTTGTTTCTTCCCTTTTATTTTTCTTCTTCTTTGGGTTTCGTCTGGCAGAGGCGGAGGCTTCCATACCATTGTAATGCACTCTTGCATTGTCACGGCGTTCTGCATCCTCATCGGCATCACGCGGGATGTGAACAGGTTTGGACGTTCTAGGGATCACCATCTCTCTGAACCAATTTTCAACCTCTTCCTGGGGCCCAGGCTTGCGGGACCCAGGATTTTCAGATTCGTCAGACTCATTGCCTGTGAGACTCGAGTGTGCCGAACCATCATTCATTGTGATGTCACCATCTACCGCAACAGGCTCATTCGAATCGTTGTGAATGGTTAGGTCTCCAGAGTTCTCGAAAAGATCCAGCGTTGTTTCTACTATGCTGCCCTCACCACTGTTCACATTGGGGTTGACTGCCTTGTCGTAAACAAAGGGCCCGGGCAGCGGTGTTGGAACCAAGGGCCTAGAGTCCAACAAATCTCTTGATTGGGGGAATAATCCATGAGGCCACCATGCTGCAACCTGAGAAGAGCCAGCCGAAATGGTGTCATCCGTGTGCACATATGCGATCGCTCTGGACGGCAACACCAGTGTATTCGAACTCGTGCCTGGGGTGTTGATCGCCTTTGACAGCATCTCCGCCTCGAAAACAAAAGAACTGGGCACCGTCGTCGAATGAAAGGCGCCAGGGTTGACCAATGGACCTGATTGGGGAAACGTTGGAATTGGCTGAGTTGTGACTGAGATGGCGTCTCCAGCCTCGACAAACTGTGTTCCTTGGAGGGGTGACATTTTGCGCTGGTCGACGATAGCTGGTTCTTAGATGATATGTCAACCGCACGTTCACGTGTATCCTGATCGAAAAACTTACTGTGCATAAACCAATTGCAAACTGCATCGCTCTCCTTCCATGCTTCGATGTCCTTCCATGGCATATTGTTTAACAAGTCGCCAAGCGCTTCTCGAACGTCCTTCCGACCTTGACTGATGTCCATGATGGCTTCCCAAACCAGTTTTTCAATCATCAACAATGCAGTCGGCTTGTTGTTTCCCAGGTTTTTGGTATACTGAACGAGGGTGATGTTGAGTTTTTAGTCAGTAACTCGTTATGAGCGTGTGACACTCGAAGACACCTGATACAAACTGGGACACCAAGCCAGTGATCTAGGTGGAGTTTGACATGCTCTCAACCAGCAAGTTACCAAATAAAGTGACCTCACAGGGAATCGAACCCCAGACCACCCGGAACTGCACCAGGAGCTCTACCACTGAGCTACAAGGTCTTGGAGTGATCAGATCAGATTGCTCATTGCAATCCAACAGGTGAGTGAGACAATGAACACAATATGAGAGTTTCTGCAATCACCTGGATTAGTGAGTCCTTATTATACCTTGTATTTTGCAATACTTTTGTTGACAGCAGTATGATGGGCGAAATCATGAGGGCTAGACAGATAGGTCTGATTGCATCGGCATTCCTCAGAAGTTGGACCTTTTGTATGAGCGCATTTGTCTCTGCGACATCTGTTTGGCTACAAATGCAGCAAAGGTAAATCATATGTAAAAACAACAAGACAGGGGGGGGATACATACCTCACTAATGCATCCACCTTCAATGCGCTTTGCCCATCATAATAATCACCATTAATGGAAAGCTTGAAACACGACGTGGTGCACAATATCATAGCCGATGCCAGAAGTACATTACGGACCAACCCCAGGCCTTTGGTCCTCCTCTCAGCGGCTGTTAGTTGGTTGATAATGCGAGCCATGGGGTGTGAAACCTGGCCTGTTGCATTTCCTGGCAATGGTTTATCCACTTCGTTAATCGCTGTTCTAGCATCCAGCAAAAATTTCTTTAGGTCGCACATATCGATTGCAGTCTGTGCATCCAACTATCAACGATCCAACGGACAGATTCGTGAATAAGATCATTTTTACCCTTCCTAGGTCTATGTGGGTCATGCTTCTGGGGATCGTCACTGGGGCGGGGGTATCACGACATTTCTGGAGGCATAAGGTGTCCATCAGGCGATAGGCACAGACCAGGTTAATCATATCGTCCTTTATCCCCTCCCTAATCTGACCTTGGGGCCGCCCATGCAAAACTGCATGGAGATCCATCTCTCTCGCATTGGAACTGCGATTGAGAAATACCTCATGTTCCTTCAGGCGCTTGATGAAAGGCTGCATATCTTCGTCAACACAAATCACCATGTAAAGCGCGACACTTACTAGCCAGAAGTGATTCCTATTCAATGAGGTGGCAAGGTCCGAGGCTGTCAGGACATCGGGTGTTGACCATGGAATCTCCTGCAGTAATTTGAAATGGGGACGTTGATATTGGTATCCTATGTATCGTCGTTAGCGTCAATTTCAGCCCCCAATTTAGTTCGTACCGTCCCAGGCAGGGATTTGAACGGCGTTAGTTGTTTCCATCTGTTCATTTCGGTGTCCTGTCTCGTCATTATCAGATTCGCATTCTGGGTATCATCATTAGTGTCCATGGTCCCGTTTATCCACCAATGTCGTGCGTACCGCTCGGTCTACGAGTTTCCTGGGCATTATACTGTTCCATCGTGTTGTATCTCTTTTTTTCGTTTTTCGTTTTCAGCGGACGATACTAGATCTATTCTACGATACTCTAAATTAAATAACTGGTACCTATAATATGCAACGATGTACACTACTAATCACACTTACAGATCACAAGCTTTCGGAACGGACTTGGCGCTTGTTTGTGGGTCTCGATATCCAGCGCTGTTAACGTGTAGTCTCTTTATCGAGAACGCTCACAATAGCTTTCGTCAGTAGAATAATCACATATATAGACCACAAGCTTTCGGAACGAACCTGGCAGTTGTTTGCGGGTCTCGATATCGGAATACACCGCAGCAGGGACTACCAGCCATCACCCACAATGGCGCTGTTAACCTAGTAGTTTCTTTATCGACAACGCTCACAATAGCTTTCATCATAGAATAATCATATACAGATCACCGTGACAAGCTTTAGGAACAGACCTGTATCCCGCGCTGTGGACAAGTTGTAGTTTCTTTATCGAGAACGCTCATCGTAGCTTCGCATCTGGCTGACCGTTCAGAATGATCCACACCTGCATCGCGACCTTGAACCGATCCGACTAAAATGATAAAAGGTATGATTTGTCATGAGGCAGTTACTCACTTGGATGATTGGAAGATTGTGTCCTCGTACAAGGGCTGACGTTGTTGGCAGAAAACCCGGGGTAGACAAGAGTCGACACACGACACACTCAGGCACAGCAACACACTTGCATGCCGGATGATGCCGCTGCATGAACTTTGACACTCCGACGTAGCTGCCGCATCCTTGCTGTTAGGGTTAGTGTTAGTGTTAGCGTTAGGGGTTAGCGTTAGGGGTTAGCATTAGGGTTAGTGTTAAGGTTCGCGTTAAGGTTAGTGTTAGGGTTAGTGAATATGTCTTTACACGTGGTAGCGCGTTCTGTGCGTTAATGGTTTGGTGGTTAAAACTCCAGCGGCCGTAAGGCTGCCGGAGTGCGGTGTGTCGCTCTCACAACTTCCCCATTTGGGTGTGTCGTGTCGTGACTCGTGTCTTGTACATCCTCCAGAAAACCTTAGCACACTGTCATGGTTAGCATTGGGTGGTAATAAAGGGTAAATACAGTAGAGGGACACAAGTTCTTACCATCCTAGTATTAGTAGCATCTGGCCCGAGTTCTCAACTGCAAGCGTACAGTCGCCCGGTGGAACCATTCCTCTCGAACGGCCCGATGACTAAACTTCTCTCACACATACTTACACTAAGTATAATAATAAATTATACATGCCTTGGACTGCCTTCATGCTAGTTACCGCACCAAACTGTGCAAGTTGCGACGTGGGTCACTTAATGTATAATACAAGGGATTGTTCTTTTTGGCAGCTACTTATGTATATTGCTTATCATGTTAACAAGGTCTCAGGAATTGGTGCAGTGCGGAAGCGATAAAAATTATGATGCATGCGCAACTACTTACTTAATGTACTGAGCTATCCCCACACTTCCCGGCCAGTGAAGATCGATGCGATTAACGCAACCCTTGTATAGTAGTACCAACCTAGCACATGCCTCATATTCTACTTAGTGTCAGTTTTTGAGCGCGAACACACGAACGTCGAACGCACATCGGCCGGAACTTCGGATCTGGGCTGAAAATGGAGGATATGCGCACAAAAGGAGACTCAGGAGAGGTGGAGAGGGACCGTTGACCGCCGACCCCTGCAAGGCTGCATCTCTTGAAAAAAATCAAGTACGCCCCTTGTTCTTGTTCCGCAATTTCCGTACTTTCCCTAAATCCCTACTGATCATTATATTAATGTTAGTGGGTCATAAACTCGTCTTATCTCTCCTGCTGCTTTTTTTTTGTTTTTTTTTTTTTGAACTGTCCGGATTCCGCTTCTATCGGATACCCCTCTCAGGTCCCTTTCGAATGTCAAAAGAAGGGAAACGATTGCGAAACGAGTACAGTAAAGTTACTGTAAGTAAAGCGCGTGTCATTGTGGAAAAGCTGTTGTTATTTAAGCGTCCACGCCAACCACCATGTGGGCGCGAGCAGTTTCTCGGTCTAAACTCTTAGCGAAGATTTCTTTGGGAGCTATGTCGAAGCCTTCCCGTTCTCGTTCTAGTTCATCGTATGCCGACGATGTAGAGAAATTGTTTCGATTTACTCGTGGGCGTTGGTTATTCAACGAACGTGAACGTGAGTCACCGCTTCTTCTGCGACTCATTCTGCCTATTGAAGTCTCCCGCTTCTCATGAAATGCAGAAAATGACATACGTTATACCCGTTTCAACCCTGAAGAACTTTCGCGGGTTGCATGTGAAGCCATGGGCGCCCGTTCTTGCACGCTCATTACAAAGCTTGAAGAAGGTAAGTTTCCATTTTCTGTGGGACGCTTCATTTTGTGATTATTTGAGTGTGTTAGGCTCTTACAATAAGGCATTCTGCCTTACGCTCGATAACTCTTTGAGGGTCGTTGCCCGCATCCCCTGCCCGTTGGCTGGGCCATCTTATATGGTCACTGCCAGTGAGGTGGCAACTCTTCAGTTTGCGAAGGAGGTACTCAAACTTCCGGTCCCCCGAGTCATTACATGGAGTGGCGCAAAGCGAGGCCAAGTGAATCCTGTGGGTGCTGACTTCATAATTATGGAAGAGGTTCCTGGTGTATCTTTGGGTGAGCGCTGGTCGACGTTTGGACACCGAGAAGAGGTCATACCCATCTTGAACGGGATACTGGATATGGAGGCCAAGTTTGAATCCTTGCGTTTCTCGCTCATCGGGAGCATCTATTTCAAAGAAGACGTCAGTGCTGACCTTCAAACCATCCCCCTCCTTTCGGGTGCCATCGACACCACTACTCGGCAGCTGGCGGAGAAATATCGTGTCGGGCCAATAGCCGATTACCAGTGGTGGCGAGGCGACCGAGCCCACATGACTCTGGACCGCGGTCCATGTATGAATTTCTCATTCGACATGATAATAAAATCATTTCACTAATTCGTGTTGTCCAGGGCCTGATGCCACTTCCTTTTTCCTCGCTGCAGCAAAGAATGAACAAATGGTTTTAGATCATCAATCTCCTAGCTCGTCCCTATATCGTCGAAAGCCTACACACGACCAGGCTACTCATTCGAAACTCTTGTCTATGTACATGGAAGCTGTCCCCCACATCATACCACCAAACGATAAAGATCTTTGCGTGCCCACGTTGTGGCACCCAGATCTCAACCTGGGCAATTTATTTGTGTCGGCATCGGGCCCTGCGCACCTGGAAGGCATTATTGACTGGCAGCACGCGACTATCCTACCTTATTTCAGTTTTATGTCCATCCCTCCCGCTCTTGTCTATAAAGGCGACAAGATATGTATGGATGGACTGTTCCCCGGACCTCTACCTCCGAACCTCGACGTATTGAGCGCCGAAGAGCAGGCGGAATATCGTCTGCAGCTTCGCCTCGCACATCGCCACAAATGGTATCAGGCCAAATCTGCGGGCAATCCGCGTCGACGGCCTGCCCGTAGGCTGCCACATGTACACGAGCTCATTATGCTCCCCAACTATGTCATACGCTCATGGGCGGACGGTGTATTCGAGCTGCGAGAAGCCCTCATTGCTTTACGTAGAAATTGGGTCACTATCACCGGTGGACTCACGCCATGTCCCATCAACTTTTCCGAAGAGGAGATCACAGAACATGAGGCACAGATGGAGCGCTTTCGGTGCTATGAGGCGGCCGTTGA